AAACATAAATAAATAAATAAATAAATAAATAAATAAAACAAAGCACTTCTTTTTTATGAGCTCAGCTCTTACCGGAGGTAGAAGGTCACCCACGAGAGGATTTTACCAGATGTCTGATCCTGCAGAACCCAGGGCATTTTCAGCTCTTCAGAGTTGATTAATAGTTTGATTTTATAACTGTCAAATCTGAAATGCTATTTCACATATGGTACACATATGGTGGAAACATTAAGGCTAATTCAGAAAGTTCTGGAAATTCTGTCCAAGCCCAAATTCATTTTTTTTTGAAAAAAATGAAACCCAAGTCACTCAAATAGCAATTTTAAATTCAAACATTCTAGCAATCTAATCCAAAGGTGAACCAATTCATACTGAGAGCAATGGCAGGAAATCAATAAATGCTTGTTTTCCACAATTCAGCCACTGTGTTTGAAAGGAGCAAACAACTTTGCATGCAGTCTGAGCCATAATTCCTAACGTAGGCTAGTCCTAGGCCCCGGCCTGGGCACTTCAGGCTCTGAGTAGCATGTGTGTGTTGCGTGTTCAGAGCCAAGGCTGTAGGGAAGCCATGAGATACAACGTGGGGGGGGGCACTTGCCAGAAGCATCTTGGAGTCTTACATGCTTGATTTTGGATCCTTTGCATTTCAGAAGCCTCTTACTGATGCCAGTTTTTCTTGTAACCTCATGTTCAGTTACATGACCCAATACGAGGCTGTGACCCTCAGTTTAAGCAGCTAAAATCAGGGCTGGAAAATGCCTCCGTGGGTAAGAGTGCTCGCTGCACAAGTGTGAGACTCTCTTCCCTCCTGTGAGACCTGTGTGTCCCAACGTGACGGCATGTGACTTCACATGGAGCTGTGAACCAAGATCTACCCACCCCAGAGGGAACATGGAACAGCGAACAGATCATGGATAGCGGCTGCTGTGATGCCCCTGAACTGGTGTTCCTTCTGAAGGGAGACAGAAGTTGACTCCAGGGCGGTGGCTGCACCCGGGAAGGACTGCAGCACAACAATGCATTCATGCTTAGCTAAGTGTGGCTCATTGCTTCCCAGGGGACAATGGACTGAACATGGGTGCAGATGCTCTCAGAGCGCTACATTCCCCTCATGGCCTGGCTCCCCCCGGGTAAGTCGCTGGCTTTCTCAGAGTCCGCTCTGAGAGACTTTATGTGTTTGAGTAGAATGGTACCAACAATTTCTCAGAGGCTTGGAGGAAGCAGCGAGGGTAAAGCACTCACAATAGTGCCCTACAAGGGTGTGGTCATAAACTTGACTCACTGCTTCTGAAGGGGATGGTGGGACTTGGAACTAGCTGCAGGGACTTGATGGGTCCAGTTCTCTAGACGTCTCTTTAGGGATGAGAAGAAGAATGTGCTCTTCTTTTTTTTTAAAATTATTTATTTATTATGTATACAACACTCTGTCTGTGTGTATGCCTGCAGGCCAGAAGAGGGCACCAGACCCCACCACAGATGGCCGTGAGCCACCATGTGGCCGCCGGGAACCGAACCCAGGACCCTCGGAAGAGCAGGCAACGCCCCCAACCTCTGAGCCATCTCTCCAGCCCCAAGAATGTGCTCTTCTGTTTCTTCTTTCCTAGACACATTGTCACGGAGTCCCCCTGCAATTATGGGCTGCTCCTTGAAGCCATTACGCCGCACGTGAAGGGGTGGGGCACCAGGTCAGATTAGGTGCCTGTTTTATTCTCAAGTGCATCTTTTGAAGTCTGATGGCACCTACTCCTGTTGCCCTGACAACCAGCACCCAACAAGAGTTGCTGGGATCACCTTAAAGAAAGTTAGACAGGGGATGTGGCTCAGTGTCTTGGGGGCTCTAGAGCTCAAGGTAGCTGCATCTGTAAGCATCTCCCACAGACAGGATCTTTGGCCAGCAATGGCGATGTTGGTTGTGTTCACTCACCATCACTACTTAGGCAATGAGATGAGGTCAGAGCTACATAAGTGAGAAGGTGGGATGGATTCCATCTCTCACTGCTAGGCTGTCTGGGAATCCCAAAGAACACACTGTAGAGGGAAGACAGTAGAGAGTGGCATACTCCATTTTGTTTTCAGCAGATGGGCAAAAGGAGGTCAAAGGTCTAAGTGCATCCACAGGACTAGATGAAGAATGATGGAGAACCAGGGACAGAGGATATCTGGCAAGCCCAGGCTGGCTTGTGGGTCTGCTAGACATGGGGTCTACCCCCCCCTCCTTGCTGCTTTCAATTTACATCTCACCTGGAGTCTATTAGTGCCAAGCACAAGCGCTTTCACACAGAGCCCACAGCATCTCCTAATGATTCACCCTGCCCAATGCTTGCCTTGGCGAGATGTCTCCAGACACTGGCAAGCAGAAACACGGACACACCGCTGATTTCTGAAAACATTAAGATGGGGACAAGAGAAGTAGGGCAGTGGCAGGCAAGTGCCTCAAATCTTTTCCTAAATGGATAATGAAACTGGACCGTAGAGGATTCAAGAACACGGTATAAGAAAGACAGTTGACAGTTCATCTTCAAGGTCAGCTTGTCTGGATTTGGGGTCGCCTGGGAGACACACCTCTGGGTGTGCCTGTAAGGATGCAGTCAGAGAGGTTTGGCTGAGGAGGGAAGACCCACCTGGATGTGGACGGCTCCATCCTATGGTCTGGATGCTGGGGCTGAGTTGAGCAGCGGTCTTCACCCCTCTTCACTTCCTGCCTGCAGATGAAGTGTGAGCAGATGCTGGCAGCATGCCTTCTCCACCATGCTGGACTGCACCCTCAAACCGGGAGCCAAGATGAACCCTCCCCTCCTTAGGCTGGTTTTGTCAGGTCTTTGACTGTGGAAACAAGGCTGATAGGGATTGCTCGGGCATCTCAGAGAAGAAAGAGGCCATCTGTGTGTACCCTCCCTGTTCGCTGCCAACCTTTGGGCTTGTATCATGGGGAGGTCGGAAGGGGAAGCCAAGGTCTGGAGCTCTGCTCTAGGAATCATGACCCAAGCACGTTTGATTTGCTAATTGGCTCATATAAGGGCTTTGTCCCTGGCAGGGGACTATCCCAGGCTATGCTGGTACCATCAGTTATCCCGTGCTGCCCTTCAGCTCTGCAAGTTGGATATGCGCTTGTGGGTCTGCTGAAGGGCAGGCTGGGGGTTCTCAGCGAGAGATGTGCACAGGAAGCACGAGTTCAAATCTCTCGTGGGTCCCTCAGAGAGGCCGTGTGCAGCCACCATCACCTCTCACAGCCTCTAGATGTGAGCAGTGAAGACGAACAGATACCAAAGTGTGCAAAGGAAAGGCAAGGGCTGGGCCAGGCACACAGTTGAGCAGGTCACTTGCTGCTATGCCTCGCCTGATTCCAGCTGAGTTCCATTCCCTGAACCTGCATGGCAGGAGGAGAGAACACATTTTGTTGTCCGCTGAGCCCCACAGGCACACTGTGTGAGGGCCCATCCAGCGCTACTAAATAAATTCATAAAAAAATTAAAAAAGAAAAAAAAAAGGTGAGCTAGCTTAATTAGGAGAATGGCTTGCTGCCCCCAGCGCAGACGTGCACTAGGTACCTTTTCCCTATTTAGCGTCTCTTCCCTCCCCCCAGACTGTAAAGGGATAGAGACCCAATCTGGGGAGACACCCATGCACATCTGGTCACATCTGGTCAAGGGCAAGGTCAGAGCTTAGATTTAAGCTGAGGATCAGTGCTCGTTCTAGAAGCAGGGATGATCTAGCACAACGGTTGCTCAGCTGGAAGGGGCATTAACGTCGCCTGGTGGTTCCATTTTATAAGTTTTGGTTCGGTGGCACCGTAGTGGGTCCGAGGAGGTGACAGTTACATCATGGTCTCGAAGGCTGTGTGGATGGTGTTGGCTAGGAGCATCACAGAACCGCAGCTCTTGGCGACTCTTTAGCACCCCCGTGGATATGTGCCAAAGAGTGCAGGCAAAGCAGATGCCAAAACTGTAGATGGTTGCCACAGACTTGGGTTCGAATCTTTTCGTCCCCCTGACCATGGGTCTACCTAGCAGAGTTCCCTGGGAGCTACGCCCGGGTCCTGTGGGCTAAGGTAGGTACCCGGTCCTCTTTTGGGATCCAAGCCTAGGCTTCTCTTGCTTTAGCACCAAGTCCGTGGCCGCGCCTCCGACAGTCGCGCGCCTCTCCACTGGCCAACGTTGCTATGGCAGCGCTGCAGGCAGGGATGCTGAGGCTGAGGCTCGCACTAGCCTCTTTGTGAAGCGCGGGGGGGGGGGGGAGTGAGGGGGGAGATGTTCACCCCACGTCAAGCTGCCCTGACCCTCGGACTGCAAGCTGGGTGCTTGTCGGGGGCTCCCCCACCCCCATCCCGGAGGCCGGGTGCGGCACCTCCGCCCGCCAGCCGCTCCTGCATTAAAATTTCATGGGCGCTGCAGTAAATGAGAAGACGAAGTCGGCTGCACTGGGGGGCCGTAGGGAGGGAGGCTGCGGACCAGTGCGGGGAGGAGTTTACGAGGGGAGGCGCTTGCAGGGGCTCCCCTAGTTCTGTTGAAAGCTGGGCACAAAGAGCCCTCTGCACTTCCAGCCGCAGGAGCGAGGAGCCAAGGTAAGCCGGAGTCGCCATTCCCTCTCCCAGCCCGGCACACCTGATTCCTGGGAGGGCGATGGTGGTCTCACAGTCCCAGGGAAGTGGTGGCCCGCACTGGGTGGGTGACGGGACCCTCCAACCCGCAATGGCCAGATGTGATGCTCCAATGGATGGGTCATGGGAATTGGGACACGGAGGGTACTGGGGAGGGGGGGGTCTCGCAGTCATGGTCTGAGGGGAAACAAAGACCCTTCCCTTCCCCCACAGCTAGATGTACATGGGCGTGGAGACCCCAATACACACCAACCCACAAGGTTAGCAGGTAACTGCCTAGGCCGGGGACTGCACCCAAGAGATCTCAGCAAGGAGGGTGGGTTAGCTGGTGATGTCCCTGACTCCCCTTCCCTCACGCCAGGCCCTTACCCTTCCTTCACTTCTGGGACTCATTCCAGACTGGGGCGTCCAGTGCATCTCCGCACCCTCATTGCGACATCGCTCTGGATGATGATCAGACATCCTCCCTCCGGGAGCCACTGCTTTGGCAAAACAGCCCCGCAAAGTGGTAAGAACCCATTTTAGAGATGAGGAAAAGGAAGTCCAGAGAGGGGTATCAGCCTGTCCAAGGTCACAAAGCCAATGATTTTTGAATCCAAACACGATGAACTCTGAAGCCCACGTGGAATCTCCAAAACGATCTGGGTCCACCCTAGTAATTTGGTTCCCCAACCCTCCTAGGCTCTGAGACATTCTCGGCAGAGGCTGGGGATTTGAGAGGGAAAGGTTCAGACCTCTCTTATCCTGGACACGAACGAGATTATTTCTTGGACAGAGGGATTCCAGGGACCCCGGCCTTCTCACTCTAGTCCCAGACTCCCAGCACAGGCCTCCAGGCGCCCGGGATTGCTGGCGCGCACACCCCACTGCGGAGCGAAGTCGCGCCAGGAAAACGCCCCCACCTGCTGGAGGGAGGGGCGCGGGGAGCGAGAGCGAGCGCAGAGCGAGAACTTGCTGGAAGCAGGTTTGTTTTTCTCGACACCGAGCCGGGTGCAGCCTTGCTGCCTTCCCAGAGCGCTCTTCCCAGGAGAGCCTCGGGCAGGGATGAGTAACCTCACTCCAGGGGCTCTCCGCAAGTGAGTTGGTGTCCCGCCACGTGGCCCCACGCTTCGGCACATCTGGAGCTGGGCTGCGCATCTGGAGGTGTTCAGAATGTCTCCTGCTCCCAGATGGGGTCCAATGTCCCCCAACACTGCCCCCTCCCCGTCACCAACCGAGCAGCAGTGGCGGCAAGCAGGTTCCTGGGTCCACTCCATCGGATCCCTGTTTTGGGAGGAGACTGAACTCACCCCACCCAGAGTCTGGTTGCTTTCCTATAGAAAGAATGCTATGTGAGCAACTTTATCCTGCCTGCCCCACATTGTGTCCTTTTAATATTCCTTGCGGTTGAGGTTGAGAAGTGTTCCGAAGTCCTCCCTATGCTGACCATGCAGAAAATTTAGCCCATCTCTCTGCCCCGTAAGAGCGCTGGGGGGGAGGGGGCACACCTGATATCTTCAGGGCCCCAAAGAAGTACCCGAATCTTTCCCAGCAGGGTGAAGACAATTTCCCTTACCTTGCATAAAAAAAAAAATGAGGCATGGTCCTTGCAGTCTCAGTGCTTGGAGGCCTGAGGCAGGAGGATGCTAAATTGGAGAATACCCTAGGCTACAAAAGAGTTTGAGCAAGTGAAGGTTAGAGAGACAGAGAGAGAGAGAGAGAGAGAGAGAGAGAGAGAGAGAGAGAGAGAGAGAGAGAAGAAAGTCAGGTTAGCAGTTCACCCCTGCCATGTCAACACTTGGGAGGCTGAGGCAGGAGGACCACCCACAATTAAAAATTAAAAAAATAAATTAAGGCAGAGTGTTATGATGTAACCCAGGTTGGCCTTAAATTTATGATCCTTACCCAGGTATGGTGGTGCGGGAGCACACCTTTAATCCCAGCCTGGGAGGCAGACGCAGGTGGTCCTCTGTGAGTTCCAGGCCAGCCTGGTCTACAGAGTGGGACCCTGTAGTGTGGGGTCATATTCTTGGGTGTGGGGGGCTGTTGGCTGTGAATGCTGGGGGCCCTGTCCCACACCTGTCTCCCCGCCCGCTCACTCTGTTGCATCTGCCCTTCTAGACGACCTTCTGCCTGCTGCGGTTGGAATAGTATGCTTGGGGCACTGGGCCTTTTGTGTGGGTTCAATGGGCCAGTGAACAGCTTGAGGCTCCGCTCTCAGTCACAGCCCCCCCCCCCCCCCCCCCCCCCCCCCCCCCCCCCCCCCCCCCCCCCCCCGCCTCCAGGCCGCTTTTGAGGCCTGGCTCATTTATCACTCTGTGAAACAATAGTCAAGATGTTCAGAGGCACCGGAAGGCTGAGGGTAACATCTGTCTCTCATTCTTTCCTGCATTGATGAGCTCAGATGAGGCAGGTGTTCCCCCCTGGTGCCAGGTGGTCCCTCTGGAGGAAGGAAAGGCAATGGCAGCCTTGACCATTGTTTCCCTGAGGGTGCAGAGTAGGAAACAAATAAAAAGGAACCCTAACTGCTCTGTGGACTCCTGAAGATAAGCTACTTAGGTCTGGGAGGTGGCATGTGTCCGTGATCTCTCTCGGGGGTGGAGGCAGGAGGATGAGGAGTTCACAGTTATTTTTGGATACAGAGCAAGTTCCAGGCAAGCCTGGGCTACATGGGATCCTCCCCAACCAAATAATAATGATAATAATAATAATAATAATAATAATCTTGCACTTAGATATTGGGTGTAAATCAGAGAGGTAAAGTGACCTGTTAAAGGCCACACAGCAATTTAATTTGGAGTCAAGTTTCAAACCTGGATCTGGTATGTGTTTGTGACAGGTGTGGTGCCACCTGTCCCTTAGAAGGGGACTAAATGACTTACCCTGGGAGCACGAAAGCAGCTGCTGTAAACAGACCCCCACAGACATGAAACTTGTAAATTTCCACAATGTCTGTGGGTCTCTCTCATTCATCCTCTGTATCCAGAACCCAAGAGGCTCTATCGCCTGAGGTGTCTCCTCAGTGTAGAATGGGGAGCACAATCCAGGTCCGTGCTGGTTTGTTCTCAGCTCAGTTCCCTTCTCCGGCCTCTCCCACCCCTCCTCTGGCTTCAGGCACTTACTTTCGGGCTCCACCTTTGCTCAGGTCACTTCCTGCTGATCTCTGGAAGACACCCCCCCTCCCCAGCTTTAGATCCCCAGAGGCTTCTGAAGCTCAGGGCACCGAGACTCCTAAGCGGTTTGGGCCAGCGGGCTCTTGTCTGCTTTCTCAGTGTGAGCAACAGAAAGGGCAGGAGAAAGAGAAGCACCCGGGACCTCTGCTGAAGCCCTCCACCATCTCCCTGGCAGCTCTTCATGGATACAGGAGCCTTGTGCCTTTCTTGGGTGGCCTGGGTGTGCTGGGAGCTTTGGTGTGAACTGCATGTCCTTCCTACCTCTCTCTGAGGGTTGTGGTGATGCCAGTGTGTGCAGTGGTGTGTACCCACTCTTTCTGTGATAGGTGTGAGGCCTGTCTGTTCACATGCACATGGCTGCCGTGTCTCAGTGGTACCTGGGAAAGGAGCAAGTCTTCATCTCCTGCATGGATGCAGGTGGCAGAGGTCAGTCAACAGCTTCTGAGTCTCCCACACCTCAAGGTAGGAGAGACCTACCTTGAGGTCTCAGCCCCTGCTTATACAGCTAAATCACCTTCTGATGTAAGGGTGCAACCCAGAGATTTTGACTAGAGTTACTAAGTCCTACAGCTGTACTTAATGTCATTGACATGTGTCCATTGCCCTAGTGAGATCCCCAAGGCTGCGAATCCATTCCTCTTCACACCCAGCCATGTGAGTGATAAACTACTTCCTTTCTCTTCTATGGGCGTTTTGTATAAATTTGGCCACATCCACTTCTCATATTCTTAGGTTTTATCTTTAATTTTTGAGAGAGGAGAGAGAAAGAGAGACTCATTATTCAGCCCAGGCTGGTCCTGAACTCATGACCCTCCTGTCTCAGCCTCCCAAATGCTGGGATTCCAGGAGGGTACTGCTACCACATTCAGCTTGGACCTGTCTTTTCTTAGCAGAGTCTGCGTGGTTTGTCCAAGGTGTGTCAATAGCCCAGCTCCTTTAACTGCCCAGTTGATGCCACTGTGTGTCAGTATCGGTCGTTAAGGATTTTAATTTGCCCCATGCTTCCTAACTGGAGTGTGTCCCCTCCAAGGTTCTATGATGCCTGAGAATACAAACAGCCTATGTTTCTGCATTTATTCTCTAGGCTGAGGGGCCATGGTCACTAACTGGTAAAGATCCCGCCAAGTTTCCGCAATAACAACTCACAGTCACACACTGCACATGTGGGATTGGAGAGCCACAGCCTCATCCTGGCTTTTCTCACTCCCAAACCTTCCTTTTTATGCTATGAGACCCAGTCAGCCTGGACCTAGGAGCTAGGGTTCCCTGGAAACTTCCACCGTCCCTGCAATGGCCAGGATCCTGGGTCTGCATGTTGTGACAGGATCACTGTGGTTTATTTGCAGACTTTCTACTGGTTCCCAGGTCGCAGAGGAGAGCAGGGGATTGGGAAGGGTCGTGGGCGCCCTGTGAAGCAGCCTTACAGATAAGTATCCCCTCACTAGTCCCCGGGGCGCCAGCCTGCTCTCTGCTGGTGCATGAGCAAAGGAGGGCTGGCCCTGGAACCCCAAGAGGGAGGGCGGATGTCTGGTGGATGGCTCTGGCTCTTGGGGATGGCATTTGTAATCTTGGGTGGGCTCCTTGGTCTTCCACATACACAGAGGCCTCCGCAGTGTTTCCCACAGGACACGTTGCTTCTCTCTGCTCCAGGTTCTTGTGGCAGCAGGCTGAGAGTGTGCTACGAGATGCCTCCCCTTCCTTGGATCAGGCTCTGGAAGACAGATGTAGTACAATTATCAGGAAAGAGCAAATCTGAGCCCTGGGTTGAGAGTCAGGGTGTCTCTTCAGTCCTGGTGACTTACAGTGGCCTGGATGAGTCCTGTACCTCCCTCTGACTCCAGACATGTTCTCTGCTGTGGTCCAGGAAGGCTGGGGATTGAGGTGGACAGAAGGGCTGCTTTCATTCCCAGCCATTGCCTTGAATGTCTATTGTAGTGCCTTGTATGGCAAAGCAGGATGTGTCTCAGGGTCCAGAGAGAGGGATAGGCTTCCAGCAATGGCAGCAGTACTGAGGTCAGAGCTCCAGGCCCCTACTCTGTCCGGACTCCCCCTCTGCTGGCCCTAAGTTGCCCAGCTTGCTCTGAGTTTTCCTGGATCACTGAGGAAACCACAGTGTCCATGTTTGTGAAGGATGCTCTGGGTGGCAGGGAAGGAGGAGGCAGGTGGCTCTTGGACCAAAGCAGGGCATGGGCGTGGTCCTCACCTGGGCCAGGATTGGCTCTTCTGTCTTCCAGAGTCATGCTGTGATGTCCCTGTGGGGGAGGCGCTAGGCCTGTGATGATGTCAAGGATGTCAGGTATGAGTGGGAAGCGTGTTTCCTTTTAGGAGGGTGGGGGGTCCTGGGAGCCAGAAGAGGAAGGCTTGCTGTACTTAGCCTCAGTGGGGGAGGATGAACTTGATATGAACCCCATAGTGGAGGCTCTGGGGGGTCATCATCTCACACAGATATGAACCTGACCTTCTTTAAGGTCGTGCTGGGTATCCAGAGGAGAATGACAGAGACGTGGTCCTACTCTCTGAGATCTTCAGTAAGAAAACATCACCACAGCTCAGCAAGGGGGTGAGCTCTCTGTCCTGCAGAGTGTATGTGTCCATTTGGGGTGGGGGTCTCATCTCAGACCATGGGGATTCTGGAGGACTGTCTTCTCCTGTGCTCGGCCTTTGGGAGTCACTCTGGGTGACCTGCCATTGGCTTTCTTCTGATCCTTTGGGTGAACTCTGCCTTCTTCTCCAAGTTTATTGTAAAAGATTTGTGTCCCAAGCTCTCCCTTTCGTTCTGTGTGTGTTGGGAGCACAGGTTGCAGATTGGGCTATCTGGGGTACCTCACCTTCTTTCATTGTTGCTCCCCCAGATGTCTCCAGACCCTGGTCTGCTTTGGAGCCCTGGATTTTGACCTCATGGAATGGGGAAGAACCTGTCTCCCTGAAGATGCTGTCCTTTTCAATGCCAGAAATGGAGCCCCCTGGAGAAGAGCCATTCTGGAAGATACATTACTTAGCATCCACCCTGCCTTTGATGAACAGATCCAGGGTGGGAGAGTGGGAGAGGGCACTGGAGGCCCTTTCTGATCCCATGTGGACTGGAATCTTCCTCCAGTGTCTGGAGGTGGGGTGGAGCTAAGCCCCCTCCTAAGGACTTGTGGGTAGGGCAGGGACTTATGGGCATGGAGGAGGAGCTGCTGGGGAGGAGCCTGATGTCCGTCTTTTGTCTGTTTTTCTTTTCGTCTGTTTGCTGCTTGAATGATGGTTCTGTTTGGGTGCTTCCTGGGTGAGGCTTAGCTACCTGCTGGTTGTGGTGAGAGAATTGCCAGTCCTGGCCTGGGAGGAGCCTGGCTAGTCTCTGTGCAGTCAGCAGGGGACCCTAGAAAGAGAAAGGGTGAGTCCTGAGATAAGGAGACCCAGTAGGGAGGCTTACCGGCAGCCATATATCTCCAGCTTCCTCAGTCACTAGAGTGGACTATACCCTGCAGGGGCTACGGAGCCTTTGCCCAGGAGACAGGGCTGCCCAGACATCACCTCCATCTGTGTCCAGTAGCTACTGAGGGACTGAGGCTGGCAGACACCTGCACCCCTTCTCAGGGTGAGGGAGAAAGCCTTCTCCCTGGGGCAAGAGGGGCTGTGGGGCTTGGCAACAGAGACTCACACCCCAATACTTGAGGCCCTCAGAGCAAGATCAAGGTGCCAGAAGTAGCTTTATGTTCTCATGTGGCCTTTCCCTGTGTCCAGAGTGAGTGGGCTCCTGGGATTTGTCCCACAAGGGCACAGTCATTTGAGGACCTAGGCTTAAGACCTCACCTGAGCTTAGGCACACTTTGTCTCTCCATACCTTCACATTGGGGCTGGGGAATCCAGCCTGTGCCTCTTCGGGGACACAGTTTGGACTCTGACAGGGTTGTTTCACAAACATAAGTAGCTAGAGAATAGAATTCCCATATTGGGAGGAACCGATGGCCCATAGTTGCGGCTGCTGTGCCTGGTGTCTTGGGAACATGGTGGCTGTAGCCAGTGCAGAGCCAGCTCAGGTCTTGGGGCACCCTCTGCTATACAAATCACCTTGCTCTACCAGCCTCCATTTCCACTTTGTCATGTGGGCCATATGCTCTCCTGGTGGCCCCGGCAGCTTTCCAAGGGCTCCTGTGCCTGGTGTTCCATACAATCATGTCCATGTGGAAATTTGGGGAGGTTAGGTTGAGGGCCCATCTGGGTAGATAGGGGGCTTTCTGACCCAGAGGCATTGCTGCTTGGGTCACCCGTGTCTGTCTTCCTGACAAGCCTGGGGCTGCGGCTGCTGTTGGTCTCTCTGGTAGATTTCCATGTTTTCCAGAAGGGAAGGAACTCTGTTTCCTGCTGCCAATATGGAGTCCACACTGGTTCTTTGCTGTGAGCCAGTGTGGGAACCTGGTGCTGTCCAGCCATGCTTTAGACACTGGGGATTTCCTAGTCAGCAGGGAGAGAAACAGTGCCCAGGAAGGGGTAGATGATGGGCAGTCAACAGAGGCCCCAAAAGGGAGAGACCGCAGCTCTGGCACTCTGGAGGGGTTTCCTACTCAGGCTGACCCAACCAGGGCCTTGGAGGCTGAGAAAGGTACGGTTTAACTGAGTACCCTTGGGAAGAAATTAAAGCAAAAAAGCGGGATTTTTCAGAGCCCAGAAAACGCTAGTGAGCAAGCTTCAGATACTCAGGGAGGGATAGGATGAAGCATTTCCTGTTTTTTTTTTTTTCCTGCCTACAGAATTATTCTCTTACCAAAAACCCTGTCTAGAATGCCGGGAGACACAGGTTGGTCATCAGTAGTGCCAAGAGTGCTAAGTGGTATAACCAGGGAACGCGCAGGCACCTTAGGGTTGCCTGGGAAGGAAGGAAATTAAAGGGGCCAGAGGTGAGAGGGGTCTAAGCTTTAGTACACGGCCCAGTTCCCTGCAGTGTTTGTAGAGGAAGGCAGGCCAGGCCAGTGGGAGCAGCCAGAGGCCTGGGAGTTGACGATAGGAGTGATGTCCATTTCCAAGCATGGCAGCTCTGGGGTGGGGTGGGAAGGATAGATGTTTGGTGGAAAAGACGCTGATGAGTGTGTGCGCCTGTGTGTTTGTGTACATGTGTGCGCGTGAGAAGATCCTGGCTACAACCAGGGAAGGGGGTTTGCCCTGAGGTCAAGCAGAGGACATTTTCAGCAGAGCTGGAGTGTTTGTGGGGGCTCTGAAACCCACAGCACAGAAACGGAAGCTCTGGGCTTCCAGCAGGGGTCACTGAGGTCAAGCTTGATTCCTGGAGGGGGTGTGTGTTGAGGGGTGTAGAGGCAGACCCCCTGCCTTGGTCAGGCCCCCGATGCCCAGGCTGGTGGGGACAGGAGGTCTCTGATGGTGGGGACGGGTTTGGAAGGGGTGGGGTGCATGGTGTGACTTAACCTACTAACCAACTCAGGGCTCGGCCAGGACGCTGTGGCACGTGACAAGATGCCTGGCCTTCTGTCAATCGACTAATCCACTAACCTGGCCTGAGCATGCCCTACTAACCCTGCGGCAGCCAAACCCTACTAACTCTGCAGCCCATGGGCCTTCCCAGAGGCTGGGACAGACGAGGCTGCGGAAGGCCCTGCCTGGGGCCTGGGATCTCTGTGCAGACCCATCCTGCAGGGCAGGGCACGCTAAGAGATGCACCAACTCTGCTGCTGGGGGCTGTGTACCAGCCGCCTACCCTCCGTGGTGGAATGGGACCCTTCTACTCCCCTCGATGCCTGTGGTGGGCAGCGGAGGTGCTGCTGCCCAGCAGGGACTTCAAAATGGAAAAAGACAGGGTGAGGGCAGGCTGCAGGGAACTCGGTGCTATGTCCATCCCCTGATCTCGGGTGTTCTGCACACAGACCCTTCTGCCTGAGGCAGACACATGCTTTGAACCCTTAACCATCTTTTCCTGTTCTCCTCTTGCCAGCTTTCTCTTCCATAGGCAAACTCTTTTGATTACTAATTGTCTAACCCTGGGGCACCCCACCTGCACCCCGCTGCTCCTTAACTAACTAACGGCCCCCGCTGCTTTCTTCTCTCCTAGTGGCTCCTGTGTGTGTCTGCTGAGGTGCCCTGTCCGCTGGTGCTGTGCTCTGACCTACTAACCTGGCCCTACTAACAGGTTTCTTTAACTAATCCAGCCCTGCCGAGCTCTGGGCCTCCTGGGGGCTGGTCCCTCCTTCTGGCAAACAGATGTCCCTGGGCTGACCAGGCCAGGTCTGAGGCAGGGGACAACCATATTAGTGATGCCCAGAGGAGGAGGAGGAGGCTGTCCTGTGGGCGTGGGACGCTGGGCTCCGAGCATGACCTCTCTCCTCTGTGCACAGGACTGGTTGCCACCAGGAGTGGATGGGACCAGGGGATCTTGTGGGAGCCAGTGTGGGGCCTGTGGATCTAGAGTGGGCGATACCGGGCCCTACTTAGCCTAGGCCCTCTGTGATTTGGGCCAGGTAGAAAGCGTTAGGAACCCAGGGACTGGCCATCTTATACAGGACCTCGAGGGTGTGTGTTTGAAGCTCAAGCCGACAGAATGGCATGCCCTCTGTGGAAGCTGTGAGAGTTTCCTAAGTAGAAGTATGTGAAGGGGCCTTCCCCCGTGAAGCCACACAACAAAGTCAGGCATTCCTCAAGTGAAGCCTGAGGAGATGGCATCCGGACACTGCAGTCTGAGAAGAGATGGCCAGTGACCAGTAGGCAGTGAGCCTGAGGGACCTTTTCCACTCAGGGGTGGGAATAGCAACCACACAAGAAGTGTGGAGAAAGACTCGCCCCACACTTAGAAAGGTCAGACTGCCAGCTGCCATGGTGCACAGGTGTGGAAATGCCTCTGGGAAAGGGACATAGGTGCCCGGACATGAATCCTAAGGGCCCAAAGGCCACTGGGGAGGTCACATCAGCTGTTTGTGTTTTGTCCTGTTTATGCTCATGCCTCTGCCCCAGCCAGCCTCCCCCAGAGCCCGCCAGCTGCTAAGCCAGGGCCACACCTGGAGGTGATTTCATGCCTCACCTCCAGTAGGCTCATGGCCTCTCTGGGCTAACCTCTGACTCCCTCGCACTAACTAGCTCTTACCCAGCTGATTCCTGCCTCTCCATGGCTGCCCCAGGGGCTGACCACTAACAGCCAGCCCTGCCTATTGTGGGTGGCGGGGTGGCGGGGTGGCGGGGTGGCGGGGTGGCGGGGTGGCGGGGTGGCGGGGTGGCGGGGTGGCGGTATGGGCTCAGGTTCCTGGCCTGGCTTTGGCCGGCTCCCTTGAACTACCCTTCCTCTGGACGAATTCATTGTTCTTTTCGGCAGAAATGAATGGCTGTGGCTTTCTCTCTAACAGGTCTCCTTTCCTCCCGCTATCAACACTAATGGCTTGGATGGCGGCATGGCTGGGAAGGGGCTGGTACAGGTTCCGAGCTTGGTGGATGTGGGGAGAACGTAGCTAGTGAGAGTAGATCCCATGACTGCTCTGAGTCAGAGCTTCCAAATGTCAATCAAGGTGGTACCCAGGCTGGGGTGTGGCTCAGGCCAGAAGAAAGGATACTGTCATCTACTGAGCATGTCGGTGGGGTCAGCCTTCTAGAGGTGTGGCCACTGACTCAATCCCATAATCTTATGACCTGCAGGGGCTGTTATCTCATGGAAACTACAGCCTCAGTCCTTGTAAGCAGAGGTAGCTCATAGGTTCCACCTAAGACACGTGTCTGATTTTCTCAAAGGATTTGTTATTTACAGAATCGCTACAGACAAGACCAGGGTCTGCTTTGAGTCCTTGTTTGAGAGACTTACAGAGCTTTGTCCCTATAAACACCAAATCCAGACAGAAAAATGCACAAGGGCTGTAAATTCTCCAGCCACTCCCACCCTAGAAAAGCCCAGCTTCTCTAACTCTTCTAAGGCAACTCTTTTACACAGGGTAGGTGCACTGAGGCGAGGGTGTGTGGCTGGCAAGGAGTCGGGGCCTCTTAAGGCAAGGGGAAGTCCTTGGGGAACGGGAGTAGTAGGGGTGTGACACCAGGCTGAGGGGGGCCAGAGGGTCTTGTTTCACTAAGTTGGTCTGGTCTGCAGGTCAGAGCCTAGAATACTGGAGGATCAGGGACATTGTTTGGGCCTGTGGGTGGCCTCAGGGACAGGTTGCCTGGGTCAGTGGGTGCTGTGAGCGCTGCTTTTGCATGGGTTTAGGACTCACTGCAACAGTTAACCAGCCACCAGCGAGCCTGCAAGAGGCCAGAACTACAGCAGAAATGGAGGAGATGCCTCTTAGGGAGGTGGGTTAGCATACGAGATAGGACTGGGACGCACCGTTGCTGCCCTCACATGGCCGCTCCGCTTCATTTTACCCACAATGCCCAGGAGCTTTCGCAGCTGAGGCTGCCCTGCTGGGACCCTGCGCTGCACCAGGCTCTACTCCAGCTGCTGAGACTGGACCGCAGCCTTCTCATCGAAGGCATGACGATCCCGATATGTAGCACTAGTTGGTCCTCAGTAGCTGAAATTCTGTGTGGTGGGACAGAGAGCTCGAGTGAGGCAGGCAGGGGAAGAGCTCTCAGAACAGGCATCACACCAGCCAAACCTCGGTAGGCAGGGCATGGCTGAGTACAAGCCCCGGGCAGCTCAAGATCAGAGAGGATCTAAACAGATTCTGGGGGAGCGTATTAGGTGAGGGGCTCAGGATGGGGCAAATCCAAGGCCTTGTCAGCAAACGCGGGCTTCATTCTTGGGGTGCCAGATGTCGTCTGCACTTGTAATTCGAGCACTAAGGCGCTGGAGACAGATCTGTTGGGTCCACCGGCCTGTCAGCCTACCTCATCATAGGGTCTGGGCGGGGCTGGGGTTTCAGGCTACTTCCGTCTCTTCAACCCAGCAGGGAGGAGCTTGCAGTGTGTGCGGCCCATATTCTAGACTGCACCAGAACTTCTGGTCACTAGGAAGACCCTTTGGTCCAACTGGGAAGGAGCAGGGTTCATAGTGTTCACCCTCAACCTTCATTGGGGTTCATGAGAGATACCTGGAAAGCAAGGGAGAGAGGTGACAGGAACTTAAGACTTAATACAGGCCCCAGGCCCCAATGGTGTATGCCTCCTCCAGAAGATCTGGAGGTAGGTGATGTTGACAGTGGTGTGTGTGAGTGCGTGTGTATGTGCATGCATGAGGGGTGGGAGAAGAGAGTATGACTAGAGGAAGTCGAGCCACTGAAGGCGCATTCTCATTTGTTCCTGGGCTGCTCCTCCTCCTCTCCTTTCCACTGAGCTTTAGGCTTGTTTTGAGCAGGAGCCTATAGGCAACAGAGCGGCCTCCTGTCTGAAGGTGTCAATATCTCTTTACAGCTTGACTGGATGGAGGGGCCACTGTGGATTCTGCCCCAGGGTGGGCTGGTGGCAGGTTGGGAGCCCTGGTGCAGCCCTCAGGGTCCCCCAACAGCCTCTCTGGAATCTGTCCTAGGGCCCATTGTTTTATGACAGCTCACCAAAGACCTGTGCATTGTTCCTGCTGGGGAATGCTGAGTGTGGGCCCTGGAAGCCTGCTGTAAAGCCTGGATTGTTCTGTGGGTTCACCCACAGTTACTGGGTCTTTTGATGTTCATGCTTGTTGCTGCGTCTGTGTAAGATGCCATTTTGATATTAAAACTGGCACACACTGGAGAGTGACTGGTTTATGAAGTGGAGGGATGTGTTGTTTTGGGAAGGGACATTCAGCGGGGCTTCTGAGA